CGAGGACGCAGAGCCTGTCAAAATCGGTTCTTTATCATCATTTTGCGGCGGAGGGAGGGAATATGCAGTCCAAGATGGTTCTTGCTTATACATACTTTCGTCAGGATGTAAGCATTCTCTCCTCTACTCATTTATTAGTTGTGTTTACTATAAATTTATTATCTAAAATTAAGATCCCTCGATGGAAAGACACCAAGATTTCCCAAATTTTAATGATTGTCAAGTTAGTTCTGTAAGTGGATGCCGAATTCTGCATCGAGGCTACTAAAGAAGAGGAGAGTTGAGAACCTGAGCAGATGTAATTGGGGAACTATTTTGTTGATTCTACTGGAGCAGAAAATATTCTAGAATTGCCATTGGAAATTATATTGATCCTCGGACTGATTTCTATTTTTACCCAAGTTCCTTCCATTGAGGAAGAATGTGAAATTTTTATAAAATCAAATATATATGATTCAATTATTGAATTGAGAATCGCCAGGATGTAGCCCTCATTTTTACTTGCTGTTTAGTAATACTAGCATAGTGCACGTGCTTTACACCTGAGCATACTTGTGAAATAATTAGTAATATATTTTTAATATTTTATAGCTAATATTAATAAATGTGATATTTCGGTAGTTATTCTTTTAATAAATCTTAAATACTTTTTTATTTCTATTTTTACCCAAGTTCCTTCCATTGAGGAAGAATGTGAAATTTTTATAAAATCAAATATATATGATTCAATTATTGAATTGAGAATCGCCAGGATGTAGCCCTCATTTTTACTTGCTGTTTAGTAATACTAGCATAGTGCACGTGCTTTACACCTGAGCATACTTGTGAAATAATTAGTAATATATTTTTAATATTTTATAGCTAATATTAATAAATGTGATATTTCGGTAGTTATTCTTTTAATAAATCTTAAATACTTTTTTAGATAGCACTTGGTTCTTGCTAGGAAGTTCAGACAAAAAACCTAAACCTGATGCTCGCGATGCCCATTAATCCTCAAGTTCAATATTTTTAAATAAAAATATAATGATAGCTACACCGCATCACTTATATTATTTCTCCATTACAAAAGAGAAATTTTAATGTCCTACAGTTGCAAAGAGACATATGCATTATTGAAAGATGCATTTTATGCTATTAAAGATTAAAAAAAGATAAATTTTTTATCTTTTGTGTCGTCAACAATATTAGTTTGACTTGAAGGGTTCATGCACCTTCCGATAAATATTATATTAATATGTTTAATTATATAAAATTAAATTTTTTGTAGATTCTATTTGTAATTTGTTTAAAAATATTTTAAAATATTTTTTTATGAACTATTATTTTATATGTTATATTATTATTTATCAATGTATGTTTTTTATTTGTCATAAAGCAATCATATTTATAATTTATACATGTGTATGTGTATATAACCATCAAATTTATATACACTCAACTTTATACAACTAACACAGAAATTTAAAAATAATTGCAAAAGAAGAAAACAAATGAGGGAAGAATCTTGAATTGAGTAACTTATGCTTTGACTTTCATAATAAAAAACTTATGCATTATAATTTATACAACTAACACACAAATTTAAAAATAATTGCAAAAGAAGAAAACAAATGAGGGAAGAATCTTGAATTGAGTAACTTATGCTTTGACTTTTATAATAAAAAACTTATGCATTATAATTCCTAATAAAATATTTATGCATTGAATTATTGCTAATGGATGAGGGATAAGGGATCATTAATTAAGTGAATTGAGGAATTATCAAGCATAGGAATTATAAATATTAAGAGGGGCAAAATAGGAAGTCAAAAGTTTTGATGCCGATATTCTCTTTTATAAGTAGTATAGATTTATTATGACTTTCAGCATCTGAGTCGAGAATAGTTTATGGGAACTACCTACTTTTTGCAAAATTTTAATTTCTAATAATAATTCTACAAACTAATAAAAGTTTAAGAGCATGTAACGGGGGAGGAATTCTGAAATTTTACTAAACCAGAAACATTGTGGGTAAGGGAGAATAAGAACCTTCATTTGGAGCAGCTGTTTTTCCAATTTTCTCTCGGTTCCTCACATTGAAAAAGAACCGAGTGAATTTGTATCAAATTGGATAAAATTCACCATCTTAGTCAATGATTATCTGCAGATGTTTGAGAAAGCAGCGAAGCTTTATGCTGAACTGGCAGAGGCTGCGCTTGCAAGCTTCTTGATATCCAAGGAGCCACCTGTCATTTCACCCATCCGGATTCACTTTGGGACTGAGGAGAACAAGGAAGCCTTGAGGAAATCTAGGGGAGAAGATAATGAAGATTTTCAAATGACAGAATACCAGGCTGTTAAAGGGAATGCTTTGTACATGCATAAGCTTGGGGTTTTTTATTACTATGGGCTAAGAGGGGTGAGGAGGGACCACATGAAGGCGCTGAATTGGTTTTTAAAGGCAGCTGAGAAGTGGGAGCCTAAAGCGATGGAGTTCCTAGGGGAGATTTATGCGAGAGGGGCAGGAGTCGAGCGAAATTATACAAAAGCATTCCAATGGCTCAAGCTTGCAGCCGAGATGAAGCATTACTCAGCGTATAATGGGCTGGGATATCTCTATGTGAAAGGGTATGGTGTGGAGAAGAAAAATGTAACCAAGGTATGTTTTTCTTTCATTGCTTTCTTTCCATTGTCATATTTCATATAACATATGGATCTACTTTTTGTAATGGGATGGTGATACACTTATGTCTATACATATATTTGAGCTTTAGGCTGGCATATGATTCAGTTTTTTTTTACTTAATTTTTGGTTTTTTTTTTCAAACTGGTTTTATAGCTAACTTGTAGCTGACAGGAATGGAGAAACAGATAAACTCAATAACGATCAATCAGAAAATATTTAACTCTATTTAGATAGCAAAGTGTCATATACAGAATTGATAAATTCTATCTATCTAACTCTGTTTGAATTATTTGATACATTTTTGACTAAAATTCGATCAAATGTGCAACCAAATGCTGCCTGATCCTTCTTTGAAGACATCCATATTATTCTCAGAATTTAAGAGAAGTAATATCCATATACTATCCAAAACAGATGCTTGTGCTCATTCTTCTCCTTGGCATATATTTCCAGGTTCTGGGAAATTAGGTCTATCAAATATTGCGGCCAAATGCTTAATAAGTATGTTTCTTCATTATATTTCCCTTGCAGGCGAAAGAATATTTTGAGAAGGCTGCTGAAAATAAGGATTTTGGAGGAAATTATAACTTGGGGGTGTTGTATCTCAAGGGTATTGGTGTGAGAAGGGATGTTTCACTAGCGTGCAAGTATTTTCTGACTGCAGCTAATGCAGGTCAGCCAAAGGCTTTATACCAAGTGGCAAAGATGTTCCAGAAAGGCATAGGCCTTAAGAAGAATCTTCCAACGGTAACATCTTACCTCAATCTTCTAGAGGCATTGTATATCATATAATTGAATTTTTAAATAATAGTTTTGGATTCTATTTTTCGTAATGATCTCTCTTCAAAATTGTAAACTGCTTTCACTGGCTTTCACATGCCTCAAAATTTCTTCCATTCTGAGCTGTGCTACCATATTTCTCTTAAATATAAATTTATTGAATTGCCTTTTTATAAACATACGTAATGCGATGTTTCTTGATCTGGGATCTTTGAGAATTTCTTTATTTGATACTGACAAGGTATTAAATTGGCTCTCACTTGGGGTATATGTTATAGCAAGATGTGCACGCAATCTTCTTGTTTATCTAGTAGTCATACTCATTTACAGTTGGAACTTGAAGGGAGTACTGGAATTTTTTTATATAGAACTTGTCAAATTATTCTTCACAGTATATTTGGTATAATAGTTAGCTTTTCAGGGAACCCATTTAATATATAATGTGGAAATTCTCAAGTGTTCTGCCGCTTGCTGTTGATACCGTGGCAGCATCATCAACTTAAACAATTGAACCTTTTGAAAATGGATGTGTCTATGCATTATAGCCTCTGAAATAGAATGTAAACAGTATTTGAAATCTCTTTGCAGTTTCTTTATGTGACAGTGGGATTAGTCATCATTCTCAATCAGGAGTAAAATTCTGGTAGATTTGTGCATATCCTGTGTCTTAGGTGAAATTGTGCCTACCAATGCCATGCCGAATGCGAACACTAATATGGATGTATTTTTCAAGCTCAGAAACATCTTACACTATGCTCTCACTAGTTCCATAAATCAGTCTGCATAAAATGTTGTATTTTCACAATGTCCCACTTGTTTCTACAACTACAAACATTCGCATTCTATGCCAAATGATAAACTCCTTTATGGACACCATCATCAGTATTAGATATCAATAAATTTTCTTCGTGTTTTTTTAATGCTTGAAAATATTTGCTCATTTTATTTTCGGTCATTCACCTTTTATAATGTCAAATTGCGACTAATTCAAATTAATGAATTATGATATCAAACTTCATGTGGAATAAATCTATGTTCTATTTATTTTGGAAGCATCTCTTGTTGATTGCACATACTCGTTGGGAAATATATTTTTTTTGCTTGACGATAGTTCTCTTGCTTATATGATCTTGATTTTG